GAGGCCCACGCCGCTGCCTCGCGAAGGCTGGGAGCAGCGTAGCCGGTGCCGCCTGTCCGGGTGTCGGGCCTCGCGTTCTGGCCTGCGTGGGGGGCACGTGTTCTGAGCCTCCCCCTGTCCCCAGTTCTCTAAGTCCATGGTGCTGGACGCCTACAGCAGCTACGTCAACAACCTGGGCGCTGCGGTGGCCGTGCTGCGGAAGGCCAGCGCCGCCAAGCCCGCCTTCCTGGCCTTTCTGAAGGTGAGCGGGGTCTGTCCCTCCGCGCTGGGTTCCCGCGCCACGGCAGTCACCTCTCCGTGCACACGTGGGCGGCGGGGTGGACGGCGAGGAAGGCGGGAGCAGACCCCTAAGGAAGCTGCTTTTTGCTTCTGCCCCCAGTGTGATGTTGGGGACACCAGAAGTGGCATCGGGGATGTGGGTTGAGGTTTGTGTGGCCCAGAGTCGGAGCTGTGAGCACACCGTGGGGGACCCCCGGGCGGCTCTGCCGTCAGGCGGGGGCCCAGAGGCCCGTGGGGCCTGTGGACGTGTGGTGTCTCGTCAGCACGGGGCCCTGCGTCACAGGCTGGGGTGTGCCCGTGACAGGAGAGGCCAAGCGGACAGTCCCTTCACGTCCTGCCCCCACCCCAGTCTCGCGCGCGTGAGCCTCCAGTGTGCGTTACGGTGACAGCAGACTGTGTCCCCACAGCAGAGCCAGGGGTCCAGCCCGGATGGCGTCACCCTCTACGGCCTGATGGCGAAGCCCTTGCAGCGGTTCCCACAGTTCATCCTGCTGCTCCAGGTGCGCCCGCCCGCCGGGGCCCGGCCCGCAGCCCCCGCTGCCTGGAGACGGGTCCGTGCAGCCGGCAGGGTGTCGCCCCCTTACCTCCTCCCAGGCGGTGCGGGGGGCGGACGGGGCAGGCTGGCTGGGCGCATGTGACTGTGACTCCGCCTGCCCAGCCCCATGTTGGGTTCGGCTGGACGCTGACTCCCGGGGTGGTGCAGACCCCGCAGGCTGGCTGGCCTGTACCTCGGACGCGATGGCAAGGCGGGGGTCCCCAGATTTCCACGCTTCTGTCCATCTTGGCCTGCACGCTGGGGCCCCCACAAACCCCCTCAGGTTCCCCAGCTCCTGAGCTCCAGAGGCACCTCATCGGCGTTGGAGGGTTTCTCACGAAGCCTGCAGCCGCGGGGTGGGTGCGGGCTGAGCGAGGGGCGGGCCTGGACCCCCCCGTGCCCCCTGCTCCTCGCCCCCACACGGCTCCCCAGCCCGGTCCCATTCGGGGCTGATGGAGGGTCCACGATGGCACGGTTGATCAGCCTGCCTCACCTAGTGAATGGCAGTCGTTTGCCACTGGCCTTTCGGGGGGCCTGCACGCTCCGCCTGTGCTGGCCCCGCCTGTGCTGGCCCCGCGCGATGCTCGGCTGGCTTTCCGGTCACCTCACGTGACTGTGCTTGGCTCACCTGCTCATTGAAGTCGATTGAAAATTTATAGTGAAATCGTCCATAGAAATGAGCTGGCATTTGAGAGGCTCTGAGAAGTCTTCCCGAGGGGTCGTCTGAAATGGTGCTGGTTCAGTAAAAGTAGTTGTAAAAATGTGAAAAAGGGCACGCGTCCAGATATTAAGATGGGTTATTTCTGTGCTAGGCTTATAGGTCATTTTCCACTTTTTCACTTACGTTTTCCAATGTACGTCCGTTTACCTCGTATTAGGGTATTAATAAGAAAAGCCATTATTTTTCTGAAATGAAAATATCCCGAAAACGCGTTTTATTTCTTAAGAAGTACTGTCTGCGCTTAATGTGCGCGGACAGCGTCAGCGTCTGGGGAGGCACAGCTGGCAGGGAGGCCACGAGGCCACGTCACGGGGTCGGGCACTGAGGAGGGAGGAGACGGGAAACCAGGGAGGCAGCCAGGTCGTCCTCGCCCGGGGCCCGGGGCTCGGGGGACGGGGCCCGGGGGACAGGGCCCGGGGGACGGGGCTGGGGGGCCAGGGCCTGGGGGACAGGG